GCGGCTGGAGTTAGGAAGGGTCACGTGACAATAACAACTCTACCTATCGGCGCAGGCGCATTACGGAGTTTAGGGTGGGTGCTGATGACGTCAATTCAAAACGTGTGTAACCGTAAATAGTTTGCAGAGATCCCGAAAAACAACGGTAGTTCTTTACCACTGACGTCAACATAATTAACGGCAATATGAATAACTGAAAAATAGACATCATGTTTAAACTCAATTAATAAAAGTTTAATAATTAAAAGCTATTATAAAATAACTTTTAACAAAGTTTTGTGTTTTGTTTGAAACACAATACAAAAACCATTGATAGAATGAATTTGATTTATTTTTATTTAATTTGTTTATTTAGAAATTCAAATTAATTTTAACACAGTGTATTTAATAAAATATTTTTTATTTATTTTAATGTTCTTGTCCATTTTTAATTTGTATGTATGTAGCAACAGGTAGTTCAAAATTCCTTTTATAAAACAAAAATAAACACTACATTACAATGTCAACATAAAGAGAAGCAATGATAAAGTAATTGTAATTGTAATTCAGACCAGAATTAACATATTTTCCAGTTATTAATCCAGTCAATGTACAAGATGTGTGTACATAGAAAACACAAAGAAGCCATTCACACGAAATTACAAAGACTCTTCAGGTGTCAAGGGATGTGTAAATAAAGGCAAGGATGCTGCAAATATCAACATGCAAAACATCTCTTGAGTTTGTTGGGCGCAGTGCTGCTGGGAGGAAGGATCTGCGATAACGCTCCTATGTGCACCTTGGATGCAGTCCCTGAAGAAGTCATTTAACCTTAAAAATATAGGATTTAACATAAGTTTAACTTCTGACATATAGAGAAACGATTATAGTTTATTGAAAATAAACTAATTTTGTTTTATTTTAGTTCATTCATTCATTCATTGGCGCTCCCTAATCAATTTAAATTAGGAGTAGTGGCTGCTTCTACATAAATTATTAAGGAACAAAACCACAACGCCGAGATCACATTTCGTCTCTCAGAGACTGAAACTTCACTCAGCCGTATGTTACGTAATTTGGACGCTCACCTTTTCAAGGCCCTGTTTACACGACAACAATTTCTGGTGAAAATGGAAGAGTTTTGTTGTGTTTGAAGTGTACATTTACATGAAACCACCGAATGTTTTCTTTGACATCGGCACAGTTTGAAAACGGGTTGCAGATTGCAATGTTTCTAAAACGTACCCGTGTCCGTTGTCTTGTAAACTGAATACAAGTCTTAACCTTCTCTGCCTCCAATGATCAAGCAGCTGAGCTGGCGGAGAAGCTGTTGCTATAGAAACAGTGACAGGGAGGGTAGACAGAGGAAGGCATTTCCGTAAGCTAACCGTATTTAACGAGGGAAACCGGAAATGGAATGGTCGGATTTTCGAAATAAAACTTTTCTAATTATGTGAATGAAATTGCAACCAAATGGATAGTTTAACATTTAAACATGATTTTAAATTCAATCTATTAGAAACACAATTCAAAATTTGAAAACCACCTGAAATGTAGATTTTCTGTGATATTCAACACAAAAAAATTTGACGTTTTTTTTAAGTGACAATTTGTGCACATCTCTTTAAGTATAAATAAGGAAACATTTTTTAAAAGAAGTGCTGAAATTTCCAATAATTCCTTTTAACTTGACAAAGCCTATAATCACATTTGGTCAGTTATTATTATTGATTTCAGCTGGTACTCTGTGCCAGCATTGAAAAGATTTGTTTAACAGCACGAACAATGGGAGAGTCCAAACCCCAAAGTGACCTATGAATAGGAATTGCAGATTTAAACGAGTTGGGGGAATCTTTATGTTATTATTCTCTGGCCTCCTTTTCAAAGCCCAACACAATGCCACAAAATATATAAAAAGCATACATTTTAGAAGGCATTTTATTCACCATCCCATAATTACATTCATTTAGCATAAATTCGCTTCATACCTTCTGATTTTAGATCACCATGATTTCTGTGGTGGAACATTTTATTATCAGATAATGCAATATAACTTTATTACCAGAAAATATATTTATTTTTGACACAATCCCCTCTTTTAATGACTTGAAACTATGTAATATTTTATATTAATCTCATATATTTTATGTTATTTCCATTATTATTTATTTATTTACTTATTTATTCATTTCATGCAGCATTATTCATTTGGTTCATTTGGCCTTTTTCTCACGAGCAACTTTTCCAAATGTAGCTTGTTTGATGAATTTGACTGGCAGACAACTAGGAAATTATTACGTTTTTTGCATATTATTTCTCATAAATGCTCTAAATAGTGGTTTAGAGGATTTATAGGCATTATTTCACACCTAAGAAAACTATGAAACATGGTGGTGGCAGCATTATGTTGAGTCTGTTCAGAACACTGCAATTGTTGTGTTCCTGTAGAAGGAGGATCCCAAAGTCCCGTCAAAAAAAAGAAAAGAAGCGAAATGCTTTTAATTTGAAAGTAAGAAACGGAAGTGGGTCTGTAATAAAACCGTCGGCTTGCCGCTAGCTGTGAAGCTGGAGCAGGAGAAGCAGAGGCAGCTGAGGCAGGTGAAGGTGTGAATGTGAATGTTTATGGATGTGGGGGAGACGGGAAGGGGTGACGGCGTGAAGACGAGACGGAGAAGAGCGAAGGGAGCACGGGGGAGTCCGCCGAGAGCAGGAGGAGCCGCGGACCGGGACGGCAGAGGAGAGGAGCGGGGCAGGATGTCGGAGAGGATCGCTTCGTGTGGGAGCCTGTGTGACAGCACCAACCTGCTGCTACAGTACTGCAACAACGGTGAGCCGCCTGTCGCCTCCCGGCAACACGTACACACCTGGTGGCTTCAAGGAAACACGAAATTTAATTATTTTATTCGATGTACATTTACTCACTACTTATAAAACTATTCTTCTATATTGCATTTTATTATGTAATTAAAATATTGACATGAATTATATATTTTCTTTGGTTTAGTTAGCACAATAAATTAAAAATTTATCATTAAACAGTCAATTAAAAACATACTCCACTGGTATTTTCAAAAATTTATATTTTAGTTTTTAATCTATTTTAGAATAGAAAGTAATTTGCTTTTGAATTATTTTTCTTGTTTCTTAAATTCAATTTAATATATATTTTGCTTAGTCAAACCAATTAAACTGAGAGCTAATCTTAAAATAACTGTTGTATCGGTAATAATTTTCTTTCTTCTGTTTGTTTCTAATATTTGAATTAGATTAAATGCATATTTTGGTCAGTAATTACAGTTAATCTGAAAATTTTCTCTTAAATTAATCATTTAAAAATAATTTATTTTAACCTTTCTTTTTTTGCTTGTGTAAAGCGGCTGGGTATTCCGTCTGCGCATGCGCATACTGAATGGCTAGGTTAATTGATCGTTAGCTTAGCGACATTTCCTGGTGAGTTCCAGTTTATCTGATGCCCTAAAGTGTGTGTTATATAGAAATGTAGTTGTTTTCACATTATTACAGCTATAATTACGATGCAAATGTTTTCGTTGTAGTTTAAGGGGTGCAAATGTTTCTCCTATAACATTAATTTCTAAAGGTTTAACAGCAGTTATGACTATTTTGTTGTTGTTGTTTACAATATAATACCGTCGTCTGAGTGTCGTTGATAGTTTTAATGAGGTAAATTAAGTAAAAGTTTAATATATCGGACTGAGTGTGTTAGCTTCGCAGAGTGTTGGTTGGTTATATAGGTGTGTTATTTGGTGTGCAGATTATGTGCTTACTGTACATTTTTAGTAAAATTTGTTTTTTAAAGGTTCCTCGGAATATTTGACAGATTATAAACTGTGGTATTTAATCTAAGAGCCTCTCCTCGCTGTTATTGGACGCTGTTATGAGTTACTACGTCAATATTATTTAGTGTGATATATCAATGAGTTAGTGGGTTATAAACTTAATTTATCTCCTCTGAAAAACTTTATTTAAGTAACTTTAATTAACAGCGAAAGAAATCGGCACATATGTTTATAGTTTTATGCGAAAAATAAATTGGCAGTCGTATTCACTTCTCGGCTTCCTATTGGACGAAAGCGTGTCACGTGGTTACGTGTAAACCCGGATATTTTCCTTTTGTTGACTGATTGAGTTTAATATCCCGCGACATACTAACACTAAAACTACCGGGTCATCATAAAATAAATACACCACCGTCTCTGTTTCTGCTAAAGCTTTAAATTATTGTTAAAGTTTCTGAACCGTGAGTTAAACTGAGCCCCGCCTGGAAGAAATGGTTTCCTCCCCGGTTCTGCGGCATCGCTTCTCGGCCTTTTGGCTAAGATCAAGTGTAGTTTCTGTTCTTATCAGTTTAATATCTGATAGTCCTCCAAACGAGGACCATGTATTAAATTGATTTTTGGAACAAGGAGCTGGAACAGGGGCTTGCCCCGTCCTCTCCACGCATTGACCTGGTATTGCAGTACCTCCAGGAACAGTGCACCTCCATTATGCTGTCAGATAGTAATACTATTCAGTACAATCAAAACTAAGAAATAGTGACTCTGATCAGTTATTCCCAGTTACTTGACAACTTTTTAGTAAGTTTAAAAAAAACATGGAGAAAATACTAATTATCTTCTGATCATGTATCTGTTTTTCTTTGCCTTAGCTTCTGGAATCTTTAAACCTATTTATCAGGATGATGTTGCAAAGCAAATCCACCTAAAAAGAAAATAACAAATTGAAGATTTTTGGAACGACATAGTCAAAGTCTGGACTTTTGAGTGTGATTTTACATTAAAACCTGCCATGGTGGGTGAAATAATGCATTGTTCTCGTGTGACGTCATACCTCTGGAAACTTTGTAGCTGGCGGCCATTTTGGTAGGCAACAACAAACAAGCCATGAGATTATATCTAGCTCTCGACTCGTTCCTAACTTATAAACGACAACTATTACTTGATTACAGTTTTTGAGCACTCTACCTCTGTGAAATACTAAGATACATATCGGATATTTACTGTAATACTTGCTATCAAACTAGCAATACTCCATTGGCTGGTCTTGTTAATAGTTGTTAGCACCACAAATGTTAGTAAATCAGTTCAGCTTTCTGACCGTTAGCTACACACAGCAAATGTTTGTTAATGTATGTCTTTGATTGGCTGGGCATTTATCCTATTGTTGTTCTTAATAAATATCTTTTCATGGTAAGAATTTTGATTTGTTGTTGTCACAATAAGCTACAATTGATGATGTTTTAAAACCCCAAAACTGTCGGGGTTATTAGTTTTACTATTTTTTTCCTTTGTATCGATAACACTGAAAATACGATCGGATGCAGTTACTGTGTGCTGTTTAGTGTTTACAAATCACCTCTTCATGTGGCTGCTGTCCTAAAGACGCATATTATAATGGGAAGGATTTTCAAGAGCAGTATTTGTGTTTGTGGGGCTGCTGTTGCTGTGACACACAGCCACAGTCATACAGTTACCTAGAAAAGTAGTAATGAATAGTTCTTATCATCACGGTTGTTATGGCTGCCGGTGGTGGAGTTTCTCGTTTCCTTGTCCTCCCTGGCACGTTTGCATCGGCAATATCCTGATTCTCATGAAGCATTACATGCAAATGCATGAAGAATTTGGATATGTATCATATCTAGAGCATCAAAGGAGGAGTGAGACAGTAAAATTAGGCCTCGGGTTTTGGACTAGCAGAGTCAAATATTCATACCTCTACACTACATCACTGTACAAGTATTTTCTAGAACCTCCTTTCGCTGCTACGACCCCAGCAGGTCAAATTTGAGATATTTATTGTAGTAACGATAAAAGTGAAGATTAAAAAATAAATTGACAACTTTTTTGCAGTCTCTTTTAGGCAATGTGGTTACTGTGTGAAATACTCATATTGAGATTTTTATTGATATTTCTTGATGCTGTCATGGAAACAACAGTGGAAATAGGAAAAGTACAAATTCTCTCAGTTTTGGGTTTTTTAAAGGGACAGTAATTTGTAAAATTGACTTTTTTTGAGTTTTACATCATGTTATAATTTTATTCAGTCATCAAAACCAAACCTGGAGTGTTGTTTTGATTCTTTCATGCATTTTTGAGAAATCCTTTAATCTCCATGGCAACCGTTCAGCTGTGCAAAAACACCTGGTTGGACCTAGCCCCGCCTTCGAGGCGCAGCTCCGCCGCCAAGCTGCCATTTCCAAGCTTACATCTCGCAGAGCAGCCCTCTTCAGCAGCTCCTTCAGACTAGCCAGCACCAATTAGCAGACATCAGGTGGAACGGCTCATCAGAGCTCTTCATAGGAGCCACTTCTCAGTACAACGCTGGTAAAACGTTGTGAAACGTTAGGGGAGCAATGATTAAATGACTACCTGAAGGCTGAGTTTCAGCAAGAACAGGAGTTTTTAAAGAGACAAAGGCCCAATTTCAAGGCGTTAAATTACATAGTCAGATTTCTTTTGATATATATATATAAAACATATATTAAGTATTAAACTGAAAGGGGGATACAAATTTTAGATTTCCCCTTTTTTCCACTTTATGATCATGCACCTCTTTGTGTTGGTGTATCCCATTAAAGTCCCCCAAAATACATTGAGGTTTTTGGTTGTAACATGAAGAAATATGAAAAATCTCAAGCTGTCTGTACATTTTCGCAGGGCTCTGTGTTTGTAACAGATCCATAGATGTGTCTTCGTCTCTTTTCCGTGAAAGCAGAATTGATTTTTTTAAGTGAATCATCCTGAACCACAAGAAACAAGAGCTGAATACAATCTGAATCTTTGAACTTTTAAACCAGAGTGTGTGTGAGTGTAGATTAATGCATTGCTGCTCATTAAAGACACAGGCGGCACCGAGGGGTAGTGAAAGTCTGACCGGACCTGTGATGTTCCAGCACCATCTGATTGGTCAATGTTGAACTTTTAAATTCAGCTGAAGCTCCTGGTTACATATCTAATTTAAAAAACCAATATAAATACTGTTTGGCTGAAAGTGAGGAAGAGATGGAGATCATAGAGGGAAAAACGATATTTACTGGCAGTTATTAAGTGGCAGCTGGTCCTGCTGGGGAAGGTCATCTGTTGTATATTTGATTTTATCCAACTGAAACACTGACACATTAAAGAAGTATTGCGTCTAGTAGCATCAAAAACCTGATTTATTCCATGTACGATTAGAGATCTTAATCCTTTTGCATGGTTGGTAAACGCAGTTTGACCATTTGAAAATAAATGGAAATACACCAATTAAAAAAAAAAAGAGTTGTTGCTAAAAATGTTGATAGGATGAGGTGGTTTTCTTTTTTTGGTGTTTCCATTCAAAAACTGCAATGGAAAATCATTTTTTGCATCAGACAAGTCACATGATCTTGTTGATGTTGCCACTGGTGCAAACCATGAAGAAGACGACAGGAAGTAGTTGGAGGATAATGGCGGATAGTTTTATTAATGACTTATCAACTGGACAAACTTATTCACATGTGATTTTAATGGAAACACCACAATTGTGATTTTTCTTTTACATGACCAAAACATTGACAAAGTTTAGTGCACATTACTAATGGAAATGCAGCTAATGGGAGAATTCAAGAGTTGGGACTCACCTGGACAGGTCACCAGGTGTCCAGCAGAGACAGCCGCCACGCCCAGTTCAATGCGTCAACTACACACCTAGCTTAATCCGTCTTTACTGTCACTGTTCTTTGTTAAAAAAACAAGTATTTAAAATAAAACACTTATCCTGGTGGCGGGCCAAGTAAAGCCTGGTGGCCCGCCAGGCTTATAATGGGGTAAACCATGCTACTGATGTCTT